TAGGTCCAAAGTGAGTGGGTCGATTCGACTCTCTACCGCAACCCGCAAGGGTTCATTGTGGCTTAATGATATTGTTAGTTGGTGACTCAATTAGCAAAGATAACGAAAACAAAAAGTTCAACGGAATGAGCACCTACATACTTCACGTTATACGATGTACTTCTCTTGAAAGTAATGATATCAATTCTTTAAAGCCAATATGGCAATAGTATTCGAAATCATTGCATCCCTTATACTCAAAATTTAGATTGTTCAAACTCTAAAATCCAATTACAATATTGAACAGGCAAAAAATACGTCAAAGAATAATTTCGCAACTGTATCGAATCTCCAAGGTGATGAAGATAACTATCAATGTTGACGTCATTACAAAACGAATGCACCTTATCTCAATTGACAAATGCACATCTCTTTCAGTAACCTAATGGAAATGAATTGGCTGTGAGGTAAGTTATTTGCAATGAGCAGTAACAGCGACATTCGGCAATTTTATTAAACTAACAATATCGATTAGTACGGTTGAAATCAGAAATGAATCAGATGTCAAATGAAGATTTACTGAATATGATGAAAGTCATAAAAGAGGAGGGAAAGAAAATAAGAGAAATTATCATAAATGAAAAGTTGCCCAGCTTCAAGAAGAATATAGTGAAAAGTTAAATATATTAGAAGAGTACCAGGACATATTAGAAAAGAAATATTATATTTTGGATAAAAAACACGAAATGTGAATGTGCCAGAATCAGAGCCGCTTCTTCAATTTGTTATAGTTAGTGTCAAAAAACTAAGAGGAGTATGTATAGAAAAAGAGATATGAATAATATGTACCTGTATGAATTAATCAATAACAAACCACCGATAATCAAAATAGAATTTGTCTCCTATTTGAAGAAACAATAAGTCTTGAAAAACGGTTTCAAATTGGAAGAAAAAGGAGTATATTATTGCTCAAGATCTCTTTTCAGAAGGTCACGAAGATCAAAACATTCTAATTGCTCATCAAAAACAAGAAAGAACGAAACATTTGAATGCAAAAATCAAGAAAAAATCTCAAATTCCTAGAGGATATACATACAGAAATATATACAGACCAGAGATATAAACAGAAAATCGCCAAGATTTGAAATCGAGCAAAATTGAAAAAAGTCCAAATTCTTCACCAGCAGAAAATAATTCAGAAAAAATAAAATTCAACGCTCCAACTCAACGCCTAGTAAGAAAGTTATTACGTCAAGAAATTTCCGCAATGAAGTGTAGAATTTTATTTTTTCAGCACCGTTGTTTACCAGCATCTTATACGTACGGATATTCACCGCAGTTGACCAAGTGTTACAACGGATATATGAGCAAAGAGGGTCGGAGAGAGGAGTCCCTGGATGTGAAGAGAACCTGCTCATCGATAGATGTGTAATTCAGGACTCAATACATTTTAAGAGTAACCTCTCTATGGCCTGGATCGATTGCCACAAGGCATTTGATACAACATCGCATGAGCATTAGCTCATTTTACATTTGCTCAGATGCCTTGTGGTACTCGACAAAATAGTGAGATGTATTGAATAACTGATACCACTCTGGCGAACTCGCTTCACCATAACATCTTGTCCAAACAGGGTGGGTCACTTTTCGAAGGGGTGTATTTCAGGGCGACTCCCTCAGTCCCCTTCTCTTTTGCATCTCACTATTATCCGTTGCGCTCAGAAATACTCGAAGGTATAAATGTGGCATCCCCGGAAACCGGAGGCACAAAGTCACCCATTTGTTATATGGAGGATCTTGAACTTTATGCCTCTGGAGGAAAGGCATAAAGTTCAATCGGTATGAAATTCGGGATAGACAAATGTGCAATAGTCCATCTCAAAAGAGGACGATGCGGGGACTACGAAAAAATGTGCAGCTGTTATGTGGAATCATCCTTCACCATTTGGATACCGGAGAGACATATACCTACTTAGGGGTGGAAAAACGCTACTCACAAGGGCTAACAGCAGTGAAGAACTTTCCTCGCGGTAAGTATCAGCACAAACTCCGACAGATCCTGGTCATCGAAACTTTTGAGGAAGAACAAAGTTGCTGTAACAAACATGCATGCCTCTACTGGTTTGGAGTAGTGAAGTGGACTCGGGAGAAGCTGTATCAATTTGACGTATGACTCGCAAAATGATGCATCTCTTAAGGAGTTCGCATCCCAAATCGTTCTTTCCACGGTTTGTTGACAGAATTGTACTGGATGTAGCCTGTAAAGTCATCAGGAGTTCGGATACCCTTCTCTACATGGTCCGCATGGAGCATTTCCCTCTTTAGGGACCGAGTTTATCAGCTGCCCGAGCAGCTAATAAACTCGGTTTAGTTTGCGACACTGAATGAGGTGATCACAACTCTGTCACCGAGGTGGAACCCGTTCAGCAAAAAGCTCATATAAAAGCCGCAGAGATCACCTCACTTCTGCGGAAACACAAGGGGTCTTCTTTAATATCATTGAAGACCTTGGCTTATCAAAGCGCCTGATTTTCGCTTTCCTCAAGTAGGGTGGACGGAAACTGAGGGGTTCATCCTGGCTTGCCAGGATGGTGTCTTCAACACCTTGGTCTACCGAAGTCGCGTGTTGGGTATAGAGGTTCCTGACAAAAGGTGCAGGGCCTGCCGCGAGGCATCCGAAACCCTAATGCACTTGCTGTCCAGCATATGCGGTCTCTGCCAATATCCATCGTCATAACGCGGCCCTAAAAGTGCTATATTACTGTCTACGGCACTCTTACGGTATTGACGAGACACCGGTGTTGCCCTACGCTCCGGGGGATATTGAATCCGTTTTGGGAAATTTATTGGAACTATTCGTTCCCCACCCTCAGGCTCATACAAGCTAATAAGCCTGATGTATTCATTGCGGATCACCAGAGCAAGCCGGTGTTTGTCGTGGAGTTTTCAGCTCCTGGCGAGACCAGTATTGTCCAAACAGAGAAGGAATGATGGATGAAATATCGAGATTTTCTCTTCGAACTCCGTAGACTATCCAGACAACTCTGTCAAGATTTTTGGAGTCCTTGGTGGAATGATTCACTCTCTACTCTGGAATCTCAAAATGATACCGGCTTGCCGCACTAAGGCAGAAATCTCAGCCGGACAGATGCAGAACGCTGTCATTCTTGGCTCACTGCGCTTGCTCAGGGCACATGATTCTCAGACCCAATGATCTATTACCCCACGGTGTGGCGAGTGATCGTTGGTTGATAATGCTGGCGCGCCCTCTCGAATGTTTTGGGGCTCGGAGGATAGGGTCTGAGCAGCGCTTACTACGGTAAAAAATATTAACAATAATAAAACTGGACCAGTTTTAATGATTTTTGTTTTTTTGGCTTTTGTCTTAATCGGGAATAGGATGAAAGGTATTGAAATATTATATTTCATCATCAAAAATAATAATAATAGTAGTAATAATAATAGAGAACTCAAGAACGGCTGGACCAATCGGTATGATTTTTGTGTTTTTGGATTTGTCTCCGTTGGAAATAGGATGATAGGTATTGAAATAGGATTATTCATAATAATAACAATAAAAGAACTGAAGACCCATTTTCATGAATTTTGTCTATTTGGATTTCTCTTCGACAGGAATCGGATGATATGTGATGAAATATGGTATTTTACCAATGAAAATAATAATGATGATAATGAAGAAATGACTCAGGAACAGCTGGAGCCGTTGTTATGATTTTTTTTATTTGTCTTCATCGGAAATAGGATAATAAGAAAATAATAATTATAATGATATTGAAAGAATTTAAGAAGACTAGAACATTTTTATGAATTTTGAGTTTTTCGATTTGTCTTCGTTGGGAGTATTGAAATATGAAATTTCATCACTATAAATGATAATGATGAGAGAGGCAAATTATCAGTAATAATATTGGCGTGTTATCATAAAACGTAACTGACAGCTCATTTGTTATAACAAAATGCAAGTGACAGTTCAAGTTATGTTGTCTATGTCTATGGTTTGTTTTGAATTATCGCAGAGTTGACCGGTTATGTGTTTGTTTTTACGCAAGAATTATTATAATACAAATCTTTTAGTGACGGTATTATTATTAACAATGCCGCGGACAAGAAGATCTGATCTTTTCCGACAAAGCAGTAATGCAATTATGATTAAAAACATCGCGAATGTCTCATTGTTGCTGAAAAATTGGAAGAACGCGATATAGTGCATACACGTCGCGCTGCTAGGTCACTGAAACAAATATTCTTATATGTTTAATCAAAAAAATTCGACCATACGTGGCATACTTTATTCGTTCTTGTGCCTGATAACAAAATGAAAAATGTCGTTTATTACATGCAATTTCCAATTAGATTGGCATTTGCAATGACTAATCATAGCTCCCAAGGCCAAACAGTGTTCGATTGTGGCTTGGATTTGAGCACACCATATTTTTCACACAATTATACGCGGCATGCTCTCAAATGAGCAAATCATCCAGATTGTTTGTGTTGGCTGAACATAAACTAACGAAAAATATTTCATACACTATATCATTAAGGGGTTAATCTAATTTGTAAGTGTTATTGTTCTGATAGGAATAATTTATGGATCAGTATTTGCGAGACTTTGACTTTTCGAAATATAAAACCATCGAGATAAATGGTGATAATGAATTAGATTCAGTTTTGAAAACAAAAATGGAACCTAACTTTTCCATATTTCAAGCTAACTTTAGGAGTATTATTAAAAAAATTCTATAATACTAGAAAAACTTCAATATAAATTTCAATAAATTTAAAAGGTATATTTTTAGGTGAGAATATTTTTTTGGGAAGGAAAGGTTTTGGCTTTCTACTTCTTCAATACAAAAAAATGAGGGAATCTTTCAAGATAGAGAAGTAGAAAATCAAAAACATGAATTTGATATTATTATATTTAAAGAAACTTGGTATATTTCACACACAAATATATTCAAGATACCAGGATATGATACTGTTAACAATGCAGGGCAATATAATAAGATCTACGGAGTAGTTGTCTTTATTAAAAATAATTCATAATTCTGTCATATAAAATACAAATCTCTTGGGTGTTATAATCAGCAAGAAAGGTGAGGAAAAAATTGTTCTTTCAGGGATTCCAAATCATATTATATCATACTATACAATGGAAGTTTGAACTAATGAAATTCATCATGAAGCATTGTGAACCACCTTCAAACAAACAAACGTAGAAGTATCAGTTCTACATTAGTTTGAAGGTGATTTGCATGTAAGTCATTCTTATAGATTTTTTCCAATTTTTATAAAAAAAAACTTTCATACTTGATCTATATCTATATATTTTTGTATAGAGCTTTTTCGTTATTTTCACCTCATACTATTAATACTGTGCATAATTTACTAAAAATTGTCTCTCTATATTACAAATGAAGATCGGTTATCACTATATACAAAATAACATAGGAATGGTTTCCCGTATTTCACAGTGACATTATCGAAATAACCGACATTTTCTTATTTCTCTCTTGTATTGCTTTCTTCTCTTCACTGGATACAGAATCCCAAGGCTGAATTTCTGCAGATCCATAGAATAAGTAGAATATGTTTGGAATCAATAACATCACTGCTGCGACCGTAAAAATGATCCTCCATTCAGAAATGTCACTCTGAAAAAAAATTAAGTTGAAAATAAAATAGTTTTTCTTTTCTTTGAGGTCCATAGTTCTGAAATCATGAAACACTTTTTTTGCAATGATCTGTCTCATTTCTTGATCCCTATATCATCAGGTAACACGAATACTACGAAACGAGAAATAGAAATCTTCTTTAAAACAATACATGCCAATACAAATACGGCTAGGGTAAGTCAAGAAGAGAGAAATGAGTTGTTTGTCCAAAAAAAATCAATTTTCGTTCTTTCGATTTTTTTGTGTAATTTCCCTCACGTCCCGGCTGCAAACATGATAGAATGTTCTTGTTATCGAAATTCTCTTTGATTTTTCTTTTAAAGGAAAACTGTTTTACCCGCGCGACTTGGGAAGTAAGCTGGTTAGGTTAGGATAGGTTAGGTTACGAAATGTGTGATCAGGCGAGGCGAACATAAGATGAGAGGGAGATATCAATTAGTGGAGATAGAAAGAGAGAGAGAGTTACGTTTCGTATATTACCATAGGGGTAAGAGAGAGAGAAAGGGGGTGCGAGCACACATTTACGGTCGAGTAGGCTCTGAAGAAATATAAGAGACCTGTCATACGTTGCCACTAATTTGAGCAGGAGATTTCAATGTTGATTTCGCGTCCGTAGATGGACAAAAATCGATGCATTTTTTTTAGATACAACGTGGTCACATATACATAATCACTTATGTCTCAACTTTCCAAAGGAAAGGCCATGAAAATATCCAGTTTTCCTCTTAAACTTCCTCTTGAGGTGAATCTCTTTGAACGTATTACCTAAAATTGGTTATCATTTGGCATGGAAATTTTGTACATTCGCTTCCGTCTTGATCAAATCAGATTTTCGTTTCTATTTCCAAGCCATATTTATCCGTAGTGATATCAAACATAAATCTCTTGACCTCGAAACATTTTGTATTGAGCGTGATTTTGAAGTATGTGACATCAAACTCCTTATCTCACAAATTACCATTATCACAGTCTAAAGATCTGCTTGCATTGAATATTGCTCTGTTTTCTTGGGTAAGCTTGAAGAACTTTTAATCTTTCACAAAAATATACGCGACTAATATTACTCGGAGACTCCAACATAAACTTTTTGAGACTTTCTTCGAATCTTATTAATCTGATTTGTCTAACAAATTCTTTGGGACTTGAGGTTACTATCAAAGAATATACCAGAGTTGATAATGGTTCAGAAAGCTGTATAGACAATATACTCACAAACTTTAATGGAAACAGCTATGAATCTGACGTTATTGATTCATGCCTCTCTGATCACTATGCGCAATTTATAAACATAAATAATATCAAGCAAGTTACAAATGTCCTTCTCTACAGAAGAAGTATAACATCCTCAGGTATTCTCGAACTCCAGACATCGCTACAAAAAGTTAATTGGAACATATTCAATGACAATAGCTCTTCTGACGTTATGGTAGATTTTCAATTGCATCTCTATGTAAGTCTAGTCCATAAATCATTTCCCAATGGATAAGTCTCCAGTGAGTCCGACTGAACTCTTGTTAGCTGGTTCAACGATGACTTAAGAAAAATAAGAAACAGAGTTCATTCCATAAAAACAATCTATGACGTGACTAACGATCCTAATCATAGACAAGTTTTTAATTATGTTAACAATGTATATCATAAAGCTATATTGGAATAGAAAAGGTCTGTTTTTGGTAAATTCATCAGTGACTCAGATAATAAAACCAGAGATAGCTGGAAACCCATCAAATTTGAAGAAATTAAAAATAACTCTCCTTAAACCTGTGGTGATATCACACCTCATGAATTTAATACGTTTTTTACTACCATAGCTGAAACTATAATTAGTCAACTATCTTCTAATAATAATATTGCTTGCCCATCATCTCTAGATGCTAGTCTTAAACCTTCTTCAGCAGGATCTTTTTCCTTTAAGCCGGTAACCACCTCTGAAGTCTTGAGTTGAAAAATGCCAGTTGCTTTGATGTCTATACCCTGAATAGTAGAATAATAAAAGAAACGAGTTCTTTTTTGATCGAACCACTCACATGCCTATTCAATGCATGTATAAGAGCGGGTACTTTCGCAGGTGAATTTAAAATCCGTAAGATCAGTCCAGTTTTTGGAAAGGGCGATATAAACATCCATGAAAATCATCGACCCATCTCCATCGTCCCTATATTTGACAAAATTTTTGAAATTATTTAAAAAAAAAGACTATATCTCTACTTTGATATTCACAATCTCCTTAACACGAATCAATATGGCTTTTGAAAATCTTGTTCTACTATACAAGCTGTTGTTCTTGTGGTCAAGAGCATAGTTGATAGTTTTGAACAAAAACAGCAGAGCTTGGCCACATTGTGCGATTGGAGCAGAGCGTTTGACTGTGTTTCTCACCACAATCTACTAATGAAACTGAATTTATACGGATTTTTTTCTTAAAATTGTCTCAGGAATACGTCACTTCAATATTCTAACGTATTTATGTTACACCTTGTATAAATAACTTCTTCCACTTATTACCATATAAATGCGTAATCTATGCCGATATTACAACTCTTTTGTGTACTAACCAAAATTGTGAGAAACTTGCTCGCCACAATGAAAACTACGGTGAATCAGGCTGAGAAATGGTTCAATGCTAACCTTCTGAAACTAAATAAAGATAAATCTCAAACTATCACATTGTCTACAAATAATAATATAGCAAAAGATGAAACTGTCAAACTACTCTGAATTGCTCATACCGTATCGAAGAATTAGGCTCGAAACTTCCCAAATATCTATTTCTACTCAGTCTCTATTGGAAATTCATCACCACCAAAATGAACATTTGACCAGTTCACACGTTCATGAACATGAACACTAGAGGTGCCAATCTCTTAAGACCACGCATGCTGAAACTACACAAATCCTCGATCAATAACTCAATGTTAACATTTATAATACATTGCCACCTACTGTTGAAGATCTACCTATATTTAGTTTCAAGAGGTTTACCAAAAATTTCTTGACAATACATTGTTTTTAAGTGTCAACGAGTATCTGGCCACACCAACTCACATGTTTGAATCTTAATCATTTTAATTATTGTTGCCCTTAATTACCACATATTTTTTTTCAATTTTAGTTACAATATTATTTGAATCATGTTTGTATCTCTCATATTCATCTGCGTCACCACTAGTGATAGTTGTGTTTTTTTTTATCTTATTTGTAACCTATTCGAAATGTTTGTTGGTTGTTCATATCTTTGTATGACTCAAACGTTATTGTTTTGACTTGCTACAAATGTATTTTTTTACTTAACGTGGTTAAATAAGCTATCTATCTATACGTAGTGATGTTCAGATATGAGAAGTTATTTGATTTTATCATTCTAATTAGATTGAAAAAAAAATCACAAATTCAAATATTTGGGTCTCATTACACTATTGTTTCAGGAATATCTTGATTTTTATGTGATATTTCAAATATTCAGAAGTTTTTTAGAAGACGATAAAAAATTATGTCTTACGATCTACAGAATTTTCCAAAACTTATTTATCGCATCAATATTTTCAACTATTTTCTCGAATTTTGAAATTCAAAATTCCACTTTGTCAGTTGACGAAACATATATGAATCAAAAACGTAATTAACTTCACATGACTTCAAAGAAACCATTGTATGTTTCATGTGGACTTTCTCACCTCATCATCAACTACTATCTGCACCAATATCGGTGCAAATATCGATATGAAATTCGAGGAACTGTTGCACATTGCCATTATAATTCCAGCAAAGTTTGGAGACAAGTCCAAGTGATTCACCATATATCCGCTAGTGGCTGCTGATTGAGCTCCTACAGCTGTTACTAACAGCAAAACTGATACAGTTGGACCACTTTTCGATAGGAAGCCAAGTATGAGAAATGATGCTGCTGGGATTAGAGTCGCTGAAATAAAAAAAAACAATTAATACAAATGCATAATATAACTGAAGGACCTTTTTTTTATAAACCAAGCTCTAAACAAATTTATTTGCTTTCTCAAAGTGAGAAGTGTTGAATAAGTTGACACTTCCTGAAATTGAGCTCTCTTTTGGATGATCATGATCATATCTGTGTTCTGTGAATTCCGTAGTAGAATATTTTTTCATGATTTATATTCAGCTGCAGAAAATTTTATATTTTCAATTCATAAATGGAATCAATACCACAAATACTTACGTCAGCGGGTTGAAATATTAAAAAAGCCAATACAGCAGTGACTACCAAATTAAAAAATGAAAATGACCTTAGTCGATCTAATGTAATAAATATACATTTGCTATAGTGTTAATGTGATTTATTTTGAAATGTATTCCTTTCACGAGTGTTCGGAATAAAAACAGAACAGTAATTAAATGTCCGCAAGAAGAGTGAGCTATTTCTTCTGTGATTTCTGAATGAATAAGCTGTGGCTGTTTTCGCAACTTTTCTTGGTGAAGTTCCTTCTTCGAAGACTAAATTAATGCTATAAACTATAAATATAATGAATGATGTGTGAAAGCTATGTTCTGGGTTAGTTGGCTTTTGTCTGAGGGTTTTGTGTCTGACGTTTCGTCTACGGTAGACATTAACAAAAATGAAGAGGCAATGAACGAATGGTTCTCGCTGTCCTCAAAGAGATAATATAGAAATGATTCGCCTCACCGTTTTTTCCATTGATAGTGGGTGTTACTTCGTTCCTATTCATTGAATTGGGTGTCTGATATGAGAGCAACTGAGCAAAGGTAACCAGATTTTCTCAGTGGTAATTCCCCCTTTTTTCCGGTTGAAATTTTTCATTTGTTGATGAATTAATGTCGTCCTCCTGTATAGTTTTATTTAGAACTCTGAATTATATCGAGGTTTTGGAAATCTATGAACGAAATAACGGGAGTGCATGCTTCGTTTCTCCTAATTTGTCGGATATATCCTGGGCGACAATTTTCTTCGTGTTCAGAGTGCTAAATATCTACACTTTGTATTTTCGATAATAATCGATTCAAATGTACGAGAAACTTGGTGAACCCCTGGTGTTGCTGAAAGGCCCTCAAAGTATCCAAACACAAAATATTCACGATTCAGCACCAGAGAGAGTAGTTTGGACCCACCATAGGTCAGTAATGCTAGATTGAACCAATACATTGACTCAACTATCTTCTTAGGAAAACCCTAAGTATAATCAAGCATGTATATTCTCTTCACGAAAACGCCATCTTTGGGATTTATCTGCGATTATCAGAAATAATCGAGTATACACCAGGTATACAGTGTGGTCCAGTAAGTCTGCAACAAATGGGAAACTTTTTTATTATCGATTTCACACAAAATTTTATTTCTGACAGAAGTTGGTGCATGTTCCTAGTGTAGATACCTGAAATGGCTTTATGACAAACACCATACAGGATAGGCCAAAAAATATAAAGTTCGTTCAAGAGTAAAGTACCCTTATTTAAAAAAATATAGAAATATGTTAGAGAAAAACGTTGCTTAGAATCAAAAGTTATGTAGAAATACGAAGTAATGGCCTGCTATTCGAATTTTTATTTTTGGAAAATTTAAAATTACCCCGTAAAATTTACTCGGATTTGTATTTTTTAGGTGACCGTCAACTTCATGTTTGTCGTAACGATATTCAACCGAACTCTAGAATAAAACAAATACTCTTTTTAACAAGGCAAATACTTTACTAAGTATAATGTTCATATGAATGAACTGTCAATAAAAGTATACAATTTCTCACGAATAGCCATGTACAAAAACACATACGCCCCAAAACCATACTGTAGTTTGATAGTGTGACTTTTTAAAACTTGGCTGTAAAATGTTTTCACATTTGTCCTTGATCAAAAATGCCTCGCCCAGTATCATTAACGTTAACTGAAAAAGCAGAATTATTTCTAATCTGTGGTGATAGTTATAAAACAATGGGCGAAGCTGCAAATATTTTCAACGAGCGGCATCCAGACAAACAAATTTGCTATTCAAGTGTAAGTAGAATTTTAAAGAATTTCAAACAGACCGGCTCACTAGAATATAAACATAATACGGAGCGTACGAAACCTGTATGCACAGAAGAAAACCAGCTTGACGTACTTCAGTAGTAGAAAATCCTGGAAGGTCCACCCAAGAAATTTGTGATTATACCGGCATAAAAAAACCTCTGTGAAGCGTGTTCTCAAGAAACATGAGTAGTATGCTTACAAACCTACATTCATTTGTACATTTCAAGAAAGAGACTATGATTTGAGATATGATTTTTCCATGTGGATTCAGAGTGAAATAGAAGAACAACGAGATTTTCATCGATGTATTATGTTTGGAGATGAATCTACTTTTACAACAAATGGGGTTCTATCATCATAAAATTGCATATGGTGGTCAGATGTCAACCCAAATTTTATTATTAACAACAAAAATCAATCTATCAGAAAACAAACGTTTGGTGTGGTATATCAAATGATAAATTACTAGGTCCGTTTTTTTTCGCGAGAATTTGAATGGTGATATGATATTAAAATGGAAAAAGTTATGGTTCCAACATGACGGCTATCCTGCCCATCCTACTAGAAATGTTTTTCAGTGGCTGAATAGAACATTTCGTAATAAATGGTTAGGACGAAATACTGATCCTCGATGGCCTCCTCGTTCTCCAAACCTTACACCTCCAGATTATTTCTTATGGGGGATACTTAAAACAAAAAGTCTACAGAGATCGCCCCTTCAATAATGTAGATGAGCTTGAAACTTCAATACGAGTTCATTGCAGAAATATTCCCGCTAATGTGTTGCGATCTACATTGAACGAATTTTATGAGCGAACAATTAGATGCATCGAAAGAGAAGGTGGACATACAGAGACGCTTCGATAATTTTTATTGTTATCACCTGTTAAGTTACCAACTGTATGTTTCTGTAGTATCGCTTATTGGTTCATTTTTGTTCATGGATATCCGCGATAGATTTTGACAGTTTATTTATATGAACATTATACTCAGTAAAGTATTTGCCTTGTTAAAAAGAGTATTCGTTTTATTCTAGAGTTCTGCTAAATATCGTTGCAACAAACTTGAAGTTGACGGTCACCTAAAAAAATACAAATAAAAGTTAATTTCACAAATACACTTAAATTTGATAAAAAATACTTCAAACTGATTTGATTGTGGCTACTTNATCAATCAAAATAGTAAAAATATGTATCATACGGGGGTAATTCAAAATTTTCCAAAAGAAACAAAATCGAATAGCAGGCCATGACTTTGTATCTAAACATAATTTTCAATTCTGAGCAACTTTTCTCTCCAACATATTTCTATATTATTTGAAATAAGGGTACTTTACTTCTGAACGAACTTTATATTTTTTGGCCTATCCTGTATGATGTTTGTCATAAAGCTATTTCAGGTACACTTGGTATAGTTTTAGAACATGCATCAACTTTTGTCAAGAATAAAATTTCCTGAGAAATCGATAATAAAAAAGTTTCCCATTTGTTGCACACTCAGTGGACCACACTGTATAGTTGCAAGTCGTTAGCTTAGGTTTCAAATAGTTACTTTGCAGAGAAAGCTGCAAAGAAAGTAAGAGGACGAATCTCATTCGGCGGTCGATATGGAAACTTGGTTTCTCAACTAGCCACCTTCGAGAGCTTCGTTGAATCTTCGTTGAATCTTTCGTCGATCCCATATATGATTGAACGAACTTTGTTGAACATGCACAAACTGTGAAATGATGTATGTGGACTGTATTATACTTTTAATGAATTATTGATGAACAATTTCGTCTTATTCTACGAGTGACGCTGTACTGCCTCCCTCTTGCGAGTCTGGACTACCATCCCTGCCTGCGCGCGCGTCCATGTCTTCCCTTCGTGCCGACATGCGTGGACATATTACAAAATAACAGTTTATCAATGGACAGGATCGTCTCCAACTAATCAAAGCCTATTTGACTTGAAAATTGTCCAATGATCTTCGTAAGGAAAGATGTTCGTGCTCACTTATACTGAAGCTCGTCCTTTGACAACAGTTGAGTTCAACAATGCATCGTCGATTCAACCTAGCACCACTGATGAGACTTTTGGTAGGTCTGAACAGCTGTAGTATCGAGTTCATTATTCTTTTTCGTTAATGGATCGGCTGTGACAAAAATGCATCGTGAATTTATCATAGATTCTCGTTCATAGTGAACAAAAATTTGGTCTGTTAGTAGTAGATATACACTTCTTTCCAAAATGCTCTCCTCCAAACAAAATTGCAAAATCAATGGTTCTTAATTGGTTGATGAGTTGATGTGTCTGAACAGCTGTAGTATCGAGTTCATTATTTTTTTTTCGTTAATGGATCGGCTGTGACAAAAATGCATCGTGAATTTATCATAGATTCTCGTTCATAGTGAACAAAAATTTGTTCTGTTAGTAGTAGGGATACACTTCTTCACAAAATGCTCTCCTTCAAACAAAATTGCAAAATCAATGGTTCTCAATTGGTTGATGAGTTTCACTCATGAAATGACCCATGTTGTGTCATGTTGGCACAGGTTCTTTTTTGTAAGTGGTCAAATGAAAAAAATCGTTTCAAACTTCATTTGCAATCTTTCTCAATTAGGTTCAAACTTGCCTCATTTATTTCATTATCATGTATAGAGTATAAAAAGTTAAATTTGCAAAAAATTTGTTCTGATTCAGTTTCGAAATATAACCTTGATGTGAAAAACCTTCACCATTCTTTTCTACCGAAATAGTACCAGCAAAATGAAACTCACCTATTGTGGATGCACACTTTCTACACCAAGTTGTGGAAATGATGTTGTTATTTATCAAATAATCTGATAAATAGGAAAAAACGTAGGTCATTATGAAATTGGTCAAGTAAGGAATTGCCGATAGGAGCCCATTCTGGAAGGAATATCCATCATAATACACGTTCACTTGAACTTATTTTCAAAAAAATCATCACCTGTTTCATGTTAAATCCAATAATTTTATTCATGTAAGTTGGTATTTCTGAGAGCAAAGTATTGTATCCCCATACAGTACCTACTTGCGAACATAAAACTGCCCATATTGGTACGGACGTTACAATTGATTTCCAAGGAGTAGGAGGCTGAAATAGAGAAAATGAATCACGAACAATACGACACATTCTGTATAACCGATTTCTTATAACTATCTATCCTATTTTTTACAGACATGATTAGTTCGTAGTGCTGAATGTATGAGCCACTTGTTGTTGCTTGCTAGCAGAATGATTCAAATTTTTTGGCTAGGGTATCCATTTCATGGATCATGGATCAATGACTTCCATGTTAATCTCCTACTTCGTAGTTAACGGCTACATCAATCAAAGTGTGATCGCCGAATTCAGAATTCTCCAACGAAATTTCCTAATATTTTTCAAAACAATAAGGAGTGGTAATGGCAATATGTTTCTCATATTCTATGGCATTCAAAAAGATTAGAAGAATTGAACAATTTTACAATTAGTGAATATTGAAGTCTTGGTTGATGACTCGTTGATTAATACAATAACACTCATTTGATATTCGATGTTTCAAGAGCCAAAGAGAAATATAATTTTCCTCTTTTTATATGAGCATGAATGTTTTTGTGAAGGATTATTTGTTCGTCACTGAATAATCACTTTAGACATAATGAACCATAATTTTGTTACATACAACGATCATTAATAGTACATAATTATTCAATAAATCCATTTGGAAGTGTTCTACAGTTTCGGTTTCTAATATGTGTAAATTCAGTTCAATTGAATGGGTAGAGTAAAAATAAAACTTCACAATTTTCACTACACTAACATTTAATGCTTACAGTTGTTTCGACACACTGTGTGTTATTAACTCGCGAGTTTTTAAGTCACTCACGAGCTTTGTTCTTCCTTTATTGAGCTCCAATATAACATTTGTAGAAACACATGGATTCGTTTTCCGATGGCATTCCAGGTTAGCTTCCCAAATTTCTGCTAGCGCAGTTGTCGGTTGATTGGTCAAACTACCAACACTGACATGAAACATGGCAAGTTGACTTGGGTATCACACCAATAGGTGGTTTCACTTATGTCTCGCTTACGTTCACGCAGTTTTTTTTTATTAAGTACTTTTCTTAGTTATTCACATTTTGTCTTCAATCGAAGACCGCCTGCCCGGTACTGACGATGCCCAATTTGCTGAAGCAGCTATCTACCGGTGGCTCTTGAATTGAAATCAATATGGGAATTATCAGAATAGTACTTATATATTGTTTTAAGCGTATTTGAAAAAATATTTTTAACTTTTCAGTTCGATGTTCTTCAAAAGCGTGTTTTTTAGTTCTTAAAACTATTTTTATTGAAAATGAATCTAATATACTCTCAGCAAAAATCATATCAAAATATTTTTTTTCATAAACTGATTATTATCAAATCAGTCATTTGGGAGAAAACCCCGTCTGTCCCGGCTCAAGAAAGCATTGAAAAACTAATAGACTGTTCTCGTTATTAAAATTTGGCAGGCCTGGGAACTTTTTTGTTTTCTCACAAGTTTCAATTCACAGACAAGGGATTTCTTTCAAACGACTTATTTGAATTGATTCTAATTTCTACACGTTTTGTGTTCGTTTTCTGTTTCACCATCAGATGCTTCATGTACAGGCAAAACTGGATCGCAATGAAGTCACTTCAGATGTCATAATCTTGAAATATTACATTCACCTTCTTTCCAATCGGTTCCTTGAAGCTCTCGATGAAATTTAGCTCTGCCTCTGATATACTTCGGTGTTCTCTAGGTGTACTGGTACCGAAAACGAAATAAATAACGACCCATGTGAATCCAAAACCTCCATATAAATAATTCGCAAATGGCCAACCTAGAGAAGATGATGAAATATATCCAACTATTGGCATGGTGAAGATGGTTCCCAAAGCGGCACCTGAAATATCAATTCGAATATTATTTATTGAATGAAATCAATTACACTTCTTGTTGCATATCAATAGTTCGAAATTTCATTGTCTGAATCGATATTTTTAGAAGAAAGGGGGTATTGAAATAGAATTCTTCAAGAATATAAAGAGAAACAATCATGAATTCAAGTACAATGGATAATTGAACTGTAGATAATCATTATTAACTTTCTTTCAAATCAATATTCAATTATTTCATACAACTCACTTCTAGATTGAATTTGGGGGTGACTCCTGATTTTTTCTGATATGTATTTTGAACAATGTTTTCAATTTCCCGTGTTTTGAACATTAGGTTGAAAAAACATCATCAGATTTGGACGTGTGAATTTGATCACTTGTGAATAAAATCGAAGGTAGAATTGGAATCTCTGGTACCTACCGACGATGCCAACTTGAATGATGAAACATGAAATGAAAGTGCTCTAGTTCTGAGGAGTGGAAAAAGTTTCTACATTAGATTTCTTTACAATGTAAATTGTTGAGTCCTGTTCGGAAAATGAAAACTTAGTATTGAGAAATGATTATCATTTTTACAGATAGATACGTATTCTTTTAAAAAATGTCTACGTTTCACAGCAAACTTTCCATTCCAAATCATCAAAAGGAATGATTAGCAATCAGTCAATATGGCAAATGAGTTGGATGTATATCGATTATATTGATTTCAAAGGTGAAAATTTTCATACATAGAATAAAATTAAAATTGTTGATGTGAAAAACTGAAATGATTGTGGTAACAGTTTTCCTTAGCAACACAGAGCATACTTAGAAGTTGAGAGCTACTAACCTGATAATGCCAAGGAAGTCAGTCGAGTCCTCTCAGAAACAGGAATCCATTTGGTGAGAGTATTGTGAATGTTACAATAGAAGCATCCTTGGGCTAATCCCATAACTACTCTACAAACTATGACTCCACTTGATCCAAATTTGGAGGCAATTACTGGAATGAGGCACATCGCTGTCGAGTTTATGGACATAGCTCCTAGTAAGAATCTTTTAGGACCATACTTCCTACCCAAATCTGCTACCACTACTTGAAGACAAACGTATCCCCAATAAAATGATGAGAGAATCAGATTTTTATTGGACCATTTGTAAGTCTGAAAAAATGTTTTGATTAAAGTAACAGAGTTTAATTCTATTTTCAGAAATAGGCTTCAGTACGGTTCATAAAAGCTGTTCATTCATTCAGTTTGGAACATACACGAACTTCCATATTGAGAAGGATAATTTCACATTCTTTCTTGTTTGCGTGAGCATTCTTGAAAACAAACCGTGAGATACTCATCCACTGCATTTCAGCATCTATGCTAAAGTCCTGGGTCTTACGGATGGGACAAATTGATCAAACTTTCAATATCCGCACTAGACTTCTGTAAGGCGTTAACTATAACTGAAATTGTTAAATATACGGTATGATAATCAAGTGAGAATACTCACTTGATTATCATACAAAACCTACATCAACCAGATGGAACACAGTCTAAATACAATACTCAATCAAAATTATTTCGAATCTGAAGGAAAAATTTATTAACAAACAGATGGACTAGCGATGGAATTCCCACTATCTAGCATTATATCCGAAATAAACCTGCAAACCATAGATAATAAAAACACATGATGAAAGAGGAGAATGGTTCAGATACGTTGACGATGGACTGTACATATCACAAAACAATGAAATGAGAATAGATCAAATAACAAAAGGAATTAACGAAATAAATCAAAAACTATTGTTCAGCATTGAGAAAGAAAACAACTCAAAACTTAACTACCTGGACATAACCATCGGATATAACCACAACAAAACACAATTTCAAATGTCAATATACAGGAAACCTATACAAACAAGGTCCACCATACCCGCAAGTTCAAACCATCCACCATGACAAAAAATGGCTGCCTATAACGTATTCATATATAGAATGTTAAGGATACCATTCAGCAATAATGCCCGAAACAAAGAACGGAAAATCATATACCAAATAGCGAACGAAAACGGATACACCCAAAAGACAATAGATAAATTAGAAAACAGAATGAAACAAAAAATACAGATCAAGGATCAAGCCACCCCAACAGCCAAAACGACACAACGATGGACAGCATTTACATACCTAGGACACCAAACCAAAAAACTAACAAACATCTTCAAGCCATTGAACATCAACATCACATACAAGCCAAACACGAAAATAACACAAAAAATAAACAGCTATGAAAAAGAAGATGACAAAAACCAAAACGGGATATACAGTATACAATGCTCGGACTGCAACAAATTCTATATCAAACCAAGAAAAAACATTTCCGTTCTTTGTTTCGAGCTTCATTGCTGAGTGATATCCTTAACATTCTATATATGAATGCGTTATAGGCAGCCATTTTTTGTGATGGTGGATGGTTTGAACTTGCGGGTATGGTGTACCTTGTTTGTGTAGGTTTCCTGTTTATTGCCATTTGAAATTGTGTTTTGTTGTGGTTATATCCGATGGTTATGTCCAGGTAGAGTTTTGAGTTGTTTTCTTCCTCAATGCTGAACCATAGTTCTTGATTTATTTCGTTAATTCCTTTTGTTATCTGATCTATTCTTATTTCATTGTTTTGTGATATGTACAGTCCATCGTCAACGTATCTGAACCATTCTCCTCTTTCATCATGTGTTTTTATTATTGTTAAGATTTTCTCATCTATGGTTTGCAGGTATATTTCGGATATAATGCTAGATGGTGGGGAAACCATCGCTAGTCCATCTGTTTGTTTATGAATTTTTCCTACAGATTCGAAATAATTTACTACGAATACACTTTTATCCTGAAAAAAGTTCAGTCCTGAAAAATCCGAATTTGTCTCACTTCTTATGGAAACACCCCGTATCTTTCGTAATATTGGAGGTGGAACGATAAAACTCTCAGAATTGAAGGAAATGCTCAAAATACACCTACCTCTTGAATGGGGTAGGCCAAAGTGATATACACTGTCCGCCACTCGCGATGGAACACCCCATTTTTACGGTAAAACATATTAGGGGGCAAAATAGGCTCAAAATTCCTTCAGATTCGTGATCAGGACTACCAACTTACTATGATTACACTTTTTTCCTGAAAAAATGTCAGTCCTGAAAAATCCGAATTTGTTTCACTTCTCATGGAAACACTCCCGCATCTTCCGTAATAATTGAAGTAGATTTCTCTTTGGTTTTGACATCAAAACATGAACGAAATTGTTTAAGAGAAACTCGACTTTTGTTTTCACATACATAATTTCTTTTTTATTTTGTTGTCAGGAAATTTATTCCTTCTCAATAAGAGAGAATATGGTTATATTGTAAGAGGAATGGAAACATGTAATCAGTGAGGTTTTAGGATGGTTAATGTTAGTACATATTCTCATTTTCAACAAAAACAAGGATATTTTGTGGCGAAAAATGTTTTGTAGTTCAAAATGCTTTCGAAGTAACTACTACTTTCAAAATCACATTTTCAATTAAAAAACAAAACAATCAATTTCAAATGATTTAACTGTTGACAATTTTATATTTTCGTGCCTTCTATGACATTTTCCTCCAATCGAACACATTTTCTATGCGCCTTCTATTATTTCCTCCAACTCTTCTCAGTTTTCTATGTGTGATTTCTCTACACGTTTGTACAATTCTTGCACGCAGATCTTCCTTATTTGTTGGCTTATAAACTTATAAAGTTCATTTTTCAAGTTTCCTCATAAATAAAAATCCAGTGGAGTCAAATCTGAGGATCGTGGTGGGCATACTACGAGAAGGCATATGGTCCTATCCATAGATTCCTATTCAACCAAACCCTTGTTATGCCACTATTGTGAACTGATGAACCATCTAACTGAAAAATCATGCTGTGTCTCACATCCAAAGGTAGTTCTTCCAACACATCNATTGAATTCCATCATCAATATATGTTTTTCAAATACGGACCTGTATATTGTTTTATACATTTTCGTAGTCATTATAATTACAAATTCGTTGATATATCACATCTATATTTCCCGACATTTCTTCCCGAAACCACATCATCACTATCGTTTTTTATTAAGAGATCGAATTTCCGAATGTTACTGGAATCCAGAGTTATCCTGTCGATAATGTCGTTCATTGAGATTATAAATATTTGTATTCACTGAAAACCAACTAAATTTCTGTCAGGGTCGTCTTGAAAAAGAGAGACCAATAATCTTTGTATCAATACCAAGCCATTCATAATTACCAAATGTCTTTTGAAAGTTTGTAGCTACCCAAAAATTTCTGTTCAGAAAATGAGGATATCAACAAGAACTACCTAATAAAAATATTGTATTAAAAAAGTCATACATGATTTTCACGAGAAGTGAGCCATGAAATACATGAATGTGAATGTTAAGTTGATTTTCACACATAAAATAAAAGTTATTCAAATCGTTGAGCGATTTTAAGGGAGTAACATGAATTTTTCCAATGACGAAAAAGTGAATATGCTTTTTGTATATTCGAGATGTTTGAGGAATGCTACCAAATCTCTGGCAATATATCAGGAATTGTATCCTGAACGACGACAACTTAATCATAGATATTATCAACGAATCGAAAATACTTTACGGAATTATGGATCTTTTGAAAAACTCTCTGAAAGAAAATGTACGGTTACTGAATGTGGTGACGATAATGAAATCGGCGTTTTAGGTAAGTTCAAAGAAGATTGACAATAATGATAAAGTGACATTAATTTGATTTAGGATTTATAGAAAATAAAAAAATTGAAAACAAGGAAGTATATCTGAGGGAGATTGCTCATAATTTGGCCATATCCACTACGTCTGTACAGAAAACTTTGAAGAAAAATAAATTCAAGCCTAATCGAGTCAGGAAAATTCATCATTTGCGTTTAACGGACTTCAACAGGAGATAAGTTTTTTTGTAGATGGATCATTAGAAAATTTCGCCAAGGTAATGTTGCTGTGATGAAAGTACTATTACCAATAACGGATGGTTCAATAGGAATATACATTATCAGTGGCGACAAGAAAATGAATATTTACATAGAATTACCAATTTTCAAGAGAGACATGGTGTTAACGTATGGCTTGGTGTTCTTGATAATAAAATTATTGGCCCCCACTTTTTTGAAACATCTCTGACCGGTGAATTATACCGGTAAAAATGACTTATTTTTACTGTAAGTATGATTTCTGATGTTATTCATTGGCAAAAAAACTCACAACTCAATAAATTATATGCCCTAAAGAAGCTTCCTATTAGAAGGGAAAGCTTGACAAAGTGGAGCAGAGTTTTGATTTATCATTTTTTGACTGAGAGGCCCCGTTAATCCAATTTGCCGTTTTCAAGAATCACTTGGAACTGTACTTATATGACTCGAAGGCGAGGTCGCAATCTTCCTTGCCCCCAAGTCTCGTCACTAGAAGTTTTGCTTGAGTTGTTTGGTTTAAAGTACTAGCATTTTTTATTTGTTCACTCATTATTTTGAAAAATTCTAAGCGTTTGTCGACGTCACAGAGTTTTATAGGGATGGAGTTTGTGATTTTTCTATTTTTGAATACTGCGTTCAGTTTTTTATTATCACTATCGAATTCTAGAGTAGATATTAATTGTAAATGGTCCAGTAAATTAATTTTTGAATTGAACCCGAGTTATTAGCTACATACTGAAAAGATTGTATCAAAAGTGTAAAGATGCTTTCCACTTCGTATATTGCCAGAATTTTCAATAAAGTATTCTTCTGCGAAACTGGGGAGAGTTGAAAAGGGAAATCGATGAACTTTCAAATGAGATATCGATTGACCACCGACCCCATTTAATTTCACTCCGCGAAGGGGGTGAGAAAAAAAATTGATGGATCTGAGAGAATTTTTTTCCGAATTATATTAATGAGGAATAGGTCTTGTTGTTTTTGCCTTGTATGTGTTTGTCAAACGAATGCAAAACAATGCAATTGCACCAAAATGAATTGTGGATGAAATGATAAATGAATGATTGTTGGAATAAAGAGTAAAACTGTATTTTCTATTCAGTTCTACTTGTATTGAAATATTGTGTCTCTTACCGGTACATCAGGATTCGAGCTTGTTGTATTATCAACCATTGCTACTATCGCCACTGATAGGTGTACTCTCATCCCTATTCCAATCGCAAGCATGAGAAGCAGCAATCCAACTTGTACATGCCGATACCCCAGTTTTTGACCTATAAAAATTGAAAGAATTCTGATAAAAGGGTACTTATTATACCTTGAAACAACGCAATTCTCGAAATGAGCAGTCAAGCTTGAATCATCGAAAAATGAAAAGCTCCAAATTATCTCATTCCTAGGAACATCTTTTTCATTTTATATCGACAATTGTACCATAACAGCTACAAATCATTCTAATTTAGTCATTATAGTATAAATAAATCATGGGATATCATGAATTCAAATTGGATAATGACAAAAGTATACAAGATTCCTTGTTTCCCTTGATTCCTGAATTTTCCCAGTTGCACAGTGATTTATTGTTTTCAAAAATTCATCACAATGTCATGAAATATGTGAATATTTTGAATGAAAATTGTAAAAATCAAACTTTCGCAACATTCCTACATGAAAGAATCTAATAAATGACTGACGAAAAACATGTATTTTTCTGGTGATTACCTGAATTACATCCAAAATTTTGCAATTTTCCTCACTGAGAAAGGAACATCATAGAATTGAGCAAATCGAAATATATCATTATTAAAAAAAACATTGCAGAAACTATTTTAGAAAATCAAAGAACAAGGTTTATCATTTCGAAATTCAATTCAGATGCGCTATCAGTTCATTAGTTTTTGTCTAAATCATATATTAGAAGATAATCTTCAAAAAGCACGCTATTGAAATCAGTAACGCTAATCACATAGAATTGATATGGAACAAATATTTATCTAAGATTATATAGATATAAGTTCAAATACGTAGTTGAATGTTCAGAGGAAGAATTTACTATCGTATGAAAAATCAATTGATCAGAATTACTTTGTCCTTCCGTCATCATGTTTCTATCAGAAGAGGCATGAATATAAAATTTGAAAATAGTAATTTCAAAGTCAACAATTGTCATTATTAGAAGACTGTCTAAAAACTGAAAGTTATCGATGTTACGAGTTATGGATCTGATCTCAAATAAACGTATTCAGCATTTATTGAAATGAACTGAAGTGAGTTTTGAATAACATTTCCATATATTATAATTCAAAATTTCAAAATTCTGCTGTGTATCTTCTTCATTTACAACAATATTGGAAAAATATTTACACTCTGTCATAACAACTTTTATTCTACTATGAAAATATATGAAAAAAATGTTTTACTGACGGTTCCTTAAGTCTTATAACCTCTAGAGGTTTAAAAAAGCTCGAACTTCAATCCTAAGTCAATAAAAATAAAGAATAGAAGATTTTGCTTGGTAGAAATGAGCTGGTATCGACCTTGAACTATGAATGGATTACTTTTTCCAGTTCCTAATTTGTATGATTGTTACTGACGGTAGTTGCATATTTTAGAAAGTAATGAAAAAGTTATTTAATTAAAAAAACTGGAGAGATAAATTTAGCTATCTGATTGTGTTAGTATTTTTTATTTTGATGGGTTCTTCCAATATCATTGACAATTCTTGAGTACATTCGTAAAAACCTGAAATCAGAAAATATTATTCCATTCACAGGACAATTCAATACCAGCTCTTTTCTCTTGAACAATGATTCAATTTGCAGTTTGAGGTTGATCCCAGCCGTAAAAAAATTAAATATGAAATTGGAACCTTGGGTTCAGAATGAATCCAAAATAAGCACTTTAATTTACTTATCTCGTGAATATGCCAACTTGGTTGCTGAAACGCGAGTCGGGAAAAGTATTGCAGCTCTGGCATCTGAGAAAAGTGCTTGTTTTGGATCAATACCATCCAATTTTTCTCAAACAGTAACTTACATATTTCATGAATAATGAGAAATAAATATTTCTGTTTTTATACCACTTGTATTTGTTACTAAGGTAACTGCAGTTTCATCATATAAAAACATTGTCAAACGAATACAATAAATTGAAATTATCAACAGTGTTGATAGAGAAATTAAATTAATTATACAGATAGGACAAAATAATAGTTTCAACGCAGACCCGAATCAGAAGTTAGTCAGAAAACAAAGCCTCAAATTTGCGTACAGATTAATATACCCCCAGATCAAACAACCAGAAAACAAGAAATTCGTAACTTTGAATATTTTGGTAAAAAAACAGAGATAATTTCGAAATTTTCCATAAAAACAATGTGGAAGTGGCATTCAGGTCACATTCCAGGTTATTTAATTTCCTGTTATCTAATGTCACAGTATACTATATACAGTAATCCCACTTCGGGTGATTTTTGGTTTGAATTTTCTACACGCAGACCCAGGAGTTGCAGTCTCAGGTCTGCGCAAACGACGAGTTCAAGACAGGCACGCAACCAAATCGTTTAAACACTGCTCAACATAACAAATATTCATATAAACTGCTCAAAAAAATACAGTCGATGAAAACCATGTTGGGCACCTAAGAAAATTGTACAAATGATAATTTTGCATTTGTGTAATATTCAAGTAACCCAGATCATTTCGACAATGATGAACTATGTTTCAAGTAGATTTTAAAAATTCATGGGATCGGATGTGACA